CCACATTATTTATCGATAAATAAATATATAAATTGTGAGTACAATAATTTTTAAAATCATCTTTATCCCAAACCATAACACCCTTTCATAATAAAACCCTAACAATACTTTCCCACACGCGCCATTGTTGATGGTGTCGTTGACCACCATCATCATAGTCACCTCGTACCACCATCATCGCTACAAAATGTGTGCAACAATATTTTGAGAAATAAAATAATTTGAATAGTAAGTGAAAATAGTTTAATTTTAAGTTCAAGATATGAAACTTTATCTTTATAATTCTTGAAATACAAGATACTCTTTATTTTAGAGAATCAATGCATAAAAATAAGTTCCAAAAAACTCTACTCTAATTTTTTTTTTTTTTTTTAAATAGTGGATTTGGGCCTCTAAATTTGAAAAGCTAAAATGTCTCTCTATTACTACTTTATAATGATAGTATTTAATAAGTCACAAATTTTAATATTATATTTTTTAAATTATTCAAATCATGTTTAAGTTGATTGATTTTGACATATTAAAAAATTCTGTTACAATAAATATGAGAAATCAATAAATATTTCTTGGACAAAAAATAAAATAAAATATTGGAGTGTGAAAAAAGAATAATGTTATTTATTATTATGATGATGAAATATCGATAATGTGACAGTGTATGTAGAATAATGAGATTTGATAATTCAATTCTTATGAAGGGTGAGGAAGAAATGTAAGGATAATGAGTTGCTATATTACTGATATTTCATTATCATGATGATAAATAGCATTACCCGTAAAAAAATACTATCTAAATTTAAAAATGATCTCTAAATAAAAAGTCTCTTGATGATGCTCTTGAAGCATGTTTAGCAAAGCTTTTACTAAATTATGAGCTACGACCATTTGAAATGTACGGATAATAAATGAATATAAATATGTAAAAACTATGATTTTATGGAACGTAGAAATTAGAATTTCACTAGCTTATAAGTAATTATGAACCTTACCAAACATACACTAATTCCTTGTCCATTGCCACTCTTCCTAAGTATAATTTATCCTAGTAAATTAGCATCATTTTCACTTCTAAAACATTTTTAAACACATACTTTATATCCTTCTTGAGCTTAAATAGTACAATCATGCTACATGTACATCATTATTTATATCATGCCGTGACAACACACCATTAAACAGTTTAAAAAACAAACTTTTCTTAAAAACAAACAAAAAGGATATCAAAAAATTGTGGGCAAAATAAATATTATTTTTTTAAACAATTCAATGATATGTTACCACGTGACTCCCGAAACCCAGTTTCCGATTTTTCCCATTGAGTTTTAAATTTAAAATATTATTAATAATAAACTTCTAACGCCTCTTGAATTATTCATTATTTATTTATTATATTAATTAAAAAACCCAAGAGCTTGAAATACCCTGTTGCTAATGGCCTACTTATTTATACACTAAATTTTCCATATTGTTTGGTAAGAATCCGATGTGGAACAAAAGAAAACCAGAAAAGGACTCCTTTGGCTCAGACAAATCGAAATTCCTTCATCCTTTGATTCATTACATTTACTTTTTTAAATGAATTAATTATTTTTCTATCTTATTTTAATTAATAAAAAAAATTAAAAACCCTCCAAATATCTCAATTAATAATATTATACTATTATCTAATATTGTTTATTATTTGAAAATATATTTATTTATCTTTATGTAATTAACCGGTTCAACCCTTTAACTATTGATCCTTTCACTTTTCTAGGTCAATGCTCAATCCGAATTTTAAAACACTGATTAAAACATAATATATTAAGCAAAATTGAGTACTTTTTGTTACATAAAAAGGTTAACAATTAACAAATACACAATTAGGTTAAGGTGTAAGCATTTCGTTCTTCTAAGGAGAGTTTCAACATTCTCGCTACAAGTGAATTTTATTCAAACAAAGACTCTTGTAAATAATTCATGATACGTACTAAATCTAGATTAAAATGAAGTCACATGAGTTTGGATTGTTCTAATTATTCTTGTGAATTATCTTGTATTCCTTGTTTATTGACGAGTTATGTTCTTTTGTTACATTTGCTAGATATCAGGTCTAGTCTCTCGTAAGTTTGTACTTTTATCATTTGATGTCAATAAAATACGCTACAAAGTGCCGTTAAAAAATGAAAATGGTGCATCAAAAATGAAGAAAAGGATAAAACAAACATAACTTTTCCATTCCAAACTACTATAAAAGTATAAAACAACATTAATCTCCTGAGAAATGAAGAATATCCAATATTTCAGAAACGGTGGAAGCTGGGTCGGTCAGAAAAATGGCAAAGGGTTATCAATTGTGCTATGAACTTATAAGAGGAAATTACATGTAATACCACTATTAATAAAATAATTTATATTATACATTATATCTTTTGTTTTTTATTCAAATTTTACTATAATTTTTGAAGTAAAAACTGAAACAAAAAAATCGTGTTTCAATGGAGTGACTTATTTAGACAGATATATACATTAAGTATGTGTTCGGTCGTGCTTAAAATCCAATTAAAATTGAAAATATAGTCGTTATTGGGTCTCACTCGTCTAATAAAAATCAACAATAACGGCTAATTTTTCAATTTTAGTCCGATTTTAATCTCTACCGAACACGCCATAAATGAGGAAAATCCCCAATTTCACGCCCATTAGCTCAAGAAACCCCAAATTGACATAGAAGGCATTAAAACCAAATCAAAATCTCCAAATTTCATAATCCCCAAAATCATAAATCATCCCACAAATCAATCACCTTCCACAACCATACGCGAAATCCGTAGTATCTGCATCAAGAATCAATCTTTACCATTCATCAGCACATATCAACCATTGAATCAACCTGCCTGTGCTTGAGTTTAGACTTGATTTCATATTTTTTTTGTTTGTTTTGTTTTCTATTTCATTTTTCGGTGTGCAAGGTGGCATAAGATTGAATTCTTAAGGATCTAGTTTGATTGGTAGGAGTCTTTGATTTGTGTTTTTCTTCTTCTTTTGTCCTACATAATAATTTTCTTTAGTATCTTTGCAACTGCTCTCGGAAATACTATCGTACTTCAGTGAAAATGTTATATCGATATCCATAAGTTTTGAGATACAATACCACACTTAATACTGTAACTACTATTTGAGGGAATTCTTGGATTTTAGCTCATTGTCACAATTTTGTTAAAAGAATGGAACAATGTGGTTTTCGCATGCCTCACGTATTGAATGCATTATTGAGTAGGAATGTGAATTCTATGTCTATCTGGACAGATGTTCGGTGCTAGTATCAACATGTTCTACTGATATTAAGTAATTCACGTACATGATCAAGAAACTTATTTCAGCAGTAACTTACGTAGATATTTATTATTATTATTATTATTATTAATTTTTTTTTTTGATATGAAACTTACGTAGATATTTATGGTATTGGATGAAATAGTTTATATTTCTAATGCAAATGCAACTTTTTCCCAACTTATATTAGGCCCAGCCCAAGAAGGGTAATTTATGGAGCTCGGCCTGACATACTTGCAGAGTGAGCAGACAAGTCCAACGTAGATTTTTCGAGAATATATTTTACAAAAATGTGATATTTTTAAAGAATGTATGATTGAAAATGTCGTTCAAATTGAAATTAATGGAAAATGAGTTTTAAATAATTTGTACCAAACAAGGTCTAGTATTCAGCACCCGTTCTATGTTAGAATGGACCTATGGCCTTTATTCGGGCCTATAGTTTACAAACAATTTTCATTAGATACAAAACTCGTTGGCAAAAAAGAGTTTTCTTTTCTAATTATTTGAATTCCTTTTTTCACAAATTTAAACAAATACTTTTTTACAAACAAAAAAATACTAACTAATCGAAAATTTAACAAAAATAAAAAAAACCTTCGCTGTAGGGCGGGGATAGACGTGGCCTCTTGTTTTCTTTTCATTTATTATCATGTTCTCCACATCAATAAAATCCTCTGACCCACAAAAATCACATCACGACCATCAATCATCCACTCACATGTGATCATGTTGGATCAGAAATATCTAAATAAAAAAAATTGTTGCAAGATATTAATTGAAGAAATATCTAATAATCCAATGTGTTGGAAAAATTACTTTGAATAATTGTGTCTTGCACAGAGATTCTGAGCTGGCATGCCCAATGCAGTGTCCAATTTTCCCTCGTGCCAGCCATCTTTCATTGCTTGGTTTAATCTTCTAATAAACCCCTTCCGGCTGCGTTCACAGTAATTCAA